TAACAAACTACACTACAACTTAGTAGTTTAGCAGATGAGGAATTCAAATGGAGTTCTGCAAGGATGGTTTGATTCAGAAGCACAATGTCTGGGCCCCCAGCTGGAATGAATGGTTCTGGGTTGGGAGCGTGGGACTGATCAGGCATCTCTCGCCACACATGTCATTTCCACATGGCTAGTTTGGGCTTCTCCAGGACATGGTGACCTGAAGGTGGTCAAGCATCTTACATGGCACCTGGCTTCCCTCCGAGTGAACATTCCAGAAGACAAGTTGCCAGGAGCTTTTTATTTCTGCCAAGTCCATTGGTTTCACATAAAACCAATTTGAACCCATAGTACCAGGCCAGATTGAGAGCAGGCACTACACAAGGGTATGGGTTCCAAGAGGCATGGCTCATCCAGAAGCCATCCTTGGAGACTGTTGGGTTTCTCATCTTGGCTCAATTCTCTAATTAGTAAATGCTGCAAATCCCTGAGGATGGTGACTCCAATTCACCTAGGATAGTAAAACATTTAATCCTAGAAAGACTTAGAGTGAAGTATAAAGAGACAGTAAATCAAATACTCAGTAATAATTTGGGGCTAAATTTAAGAATAACTCATGCATTTGATGTCATGTTTAAGATAATTTGGCATATTTGTGTGTCTGACAGATTAGCTCTATGATTCTAATTTATTTTAGAGCTTGAGATGTTTAGGAAATAAGAGAACAAGTTTGTGAACAATACTGGAATGTTTAAGGGAACTTGGGAGTCACTGTATTTTAAAGATGGATTTAATTAGATTTAGGGGAATGGGTAGGTAAAGAGGTTTTGCTTTTTAGCCTAGGCATTCCAAGTGCTCCAAAAGAAATCAAGTATATTACAATTATAAAACCAGCTTAAAATGTTTGCAAAAATAAAATTAAGTTACAAATAGAGTTGATTATTAAGGATGTTTTGATTATTCTGTATGAGTTGATTAAATGGTAATCAAAAACTTCCTTAAAAATGATTTTTGAAGTTCACTGTATTTATAATTAGAATAATAAAATGAATTTAAAGCTTAATATCAACGAGGCTTAAAGAGAACTAGGATTTAACAATTATTAGAGTAATACACTAAAAATTAACTTTGTTCAAAGTAGGCAGAAATAGTCTTTGATGTGCACAAAGCCATCCACGCACACTAAACAAACACATATCTCTGATTCCATCTTATTCCTCCCCACTCCTTGAAACCCCAGCAGTCTCTGCCTATGTCATAATTATCATCTGTGGTGCTAATCCCTGTTAGTCTATTAAGAGAAGAACTACTGACTTCTGATTTAACACTCCTTGAAAAAGAAAGTTGCCTCAGAGGCAGATAATCAAAAAATATGTTTGGGAGACTGCACATTCCCACACAGATGCATGGTTAGGGGACAGAAGTTTATGTAATTAAGGAGAGCAAAACTCTTTTAAGAAAAATAACCACCATGAAATTAGTGATAAAAGCCAACATCCATTTACAGAATAGGAAGTCACAACAAATTATGAATTTTAAAAATTCTGCAAAATTATAAAGTCTAGAGAAATATTACTGCCTGATTTACTCCATAATACATTTTTTTCTTTTTTTATTTGATTTTAGAATTTACTATAGAGGTACAGTTAATCAAGATTTTGTGGCACTGGCATAAGGACAGACATGTAAGTGAAAGGAACAGAAAAGAGTGTCCAGAAAGCAACCCACACAGACAGCAAATCCACCTTTAACAAATGTTCTAAGGTAAGTCAATAGAGAAAGAACACTACATTCAACAAGTGATGATATCTTGGACAACCTACACCATATGAATCATTATCCATTTCTTGCACCAAATACAAAAATAAACTTGAAATATAAAAGTGTAAAAACCAAAATAGTAGCATTTCTAGAATAAATGAAAAAAAAAGTGTTCTTATTGTTTACAAATAATACATATATGGGATGTGAAAATATAAACCATAGTATAAAGCAATAAATTAGTCATCATCAGTAAATATTTTTTAAAAAATAAAAGCATAAGCTATAGTCTGGGAGAAAATATTTACAAAATACGTATCTGATAAATAGTTTAATTTAAAAAAATATAAAGAACTTTTACAACCAAAGCCATAAATGTGCAAAAGAAGAGCTATAGATGGCAAATCCAGACATAAAAGGATGTCCAAAGTCACCAGTCATTATAAAAATGAAAAGCAAAATCCCATTGAGCTGCATTACACACTACCAGAATGACCAAAATTAAAAACAAGAACAGAAACAGACAATGCAAAGTGCTGGCAAGGATGTGGAGAAGCCGGATCTCTCACATGATGTTTGGAATGCAATGGGAAAGCTAACCCAGAAAACAATCTGTAAGTGCCTTTTGTATTCAAACAAACACTTACCAAACAACTCGGCAATTTCACTTTTTGTGTTTATTAAAGGGCATAAATGTATGTGAATGTTTATAGCACCTTTATTAAAAAGTATAGAAAATTGAAACTAAATGTCCATCAAGTAATGAATAAACTGTGACACATACAATAGAATACCACTCGACAATCAAAGGGAGAAAGTATGGTACATGCAGCAACATGGATGCTTCTCACCAGGATTATGGTAAGTGAAAGAAGCCAGACACAACAGGTATGTAGTGTATGGTTTCACTTATATGACTTTTGAGAAAAAAAAAATCAATAAGGACAGAGATACTATCATCGATGATGAAGGGATGGAGTTTGGGGGAACGGTATCAACTACAAAGTGGCAAGAGGGAACTTTTTCAGATAATGGAAATGTTCTGTATCTCACCACCATTCATCTCTAGAACTCTCGTCATCTTGTAAAACTGGAAATCTATACACATTAAACAATAGCTCCTGATTTTCCCCCTCTCACCAGCTCCTGGCAACCACCATTCTATTTTCTATCTCCATGATTTTGACAGTTCTTAAGTACTTCATAAAGTATTTGTCTCCGTGACTGGCTTATTTCACTCAGGATAATGCTCTCAATATTCATCCATGTTGTTTCATGTGTCTGAATGTCCTTCCTTTTTAAGGCTGAACAATATTCCACTGCATGCAAATCCCACTTGCTGCCCATCCATTCATCAACACCTGGGCTGCTTCCATGTTTTAGCTCTTGTGAACAACGCTGCTGTAAAAATGGGTGTACAAATGTCTCTTCACATTCCTGCTTTTACTTGTTTGGGGTATAGCCACAGAAGTAGAATTGCTGGATAATTTGATAATTTTATTTTTCATATTTTGGTTACTTATTGTGAATAACAAATTACTCCAAAACATAGTGGCTTAAAACAAAAACAATCACTTGTTTTATTTTAATGGTTTCTTTGTACAAGGAATTCAGACAGGGTAGAGAAATGACAGCTTATCTCTGTTCATCCGTGCCTTAGCTGGAATAGTTGAAGACTGGGAGCTGAAATCATCTGAATACTTCTTCTCTTTGATTCGGGCCTACCTTGGGCTGCCAGCTGGACATCCATACATAACTTCTGCATGTGGCCTCGATTTGCTCGCAACGTGATAGCTGGATCCCATAGGCAAGTGTTCTTAGGGACAGAGAGCCAGGATAAAGCTGTATTTTTTATCATCTTTCTCAAGAGTCATACAGTGTCAGTGTTCTGTATTTTACTGATTGAGACAGTGACAGAGTTTCGCTCATGTTCAAGAGGACAGAACATAGACTTCTTGATGGAGAAATTCTAGTGTTACATTACAAGAACAGCATATTGGATGTGATAAACACTGGCACAGTTATCTTTGGAAAATTCAGTCTGTCACCATGATCTTACGGCATATGTCTAATTTGTTAAATTTTTTAAAATAATTTGAATTTCACTATACATGCAAAATATATTAATTGTAATTTATTGGAAAATTACTTAACAGCATAAAGATTTTTAAAAACTCTCCCATAGTTCTCTGAGCAAGACATAACCACTTTGAACATTTTTTAGTGTTCCTTGTGATATATTTTATAAAACACACAGTTGGAATCTAAAATGCAACATTATGATGAGACACGTTCATATAATTACTTTGGCCACTTGGGCTATTTTGACTACGATTGCATATATTATATAAAAATGGCCTCATTAAAATATAAAAGCACAATTTGAATAACTAGCAAGTAATCTATGCAATAACCCTCTATTCTGTGCCTGACAATTACCCACTCCTCCTCCTATGCTTCAGCCTTGGCCTAAGCCAAAGTGAAAGGGTACAGTGAGGTGTCAGAGGTGAGGCAATAAGGTTTGTTTTCCATTTTACCTAATGTATTTTTGTTTTCTTTTAATTTTTTGTTTTAAATAATTTTAAGGTTACAGAAAATTTGCAAAAATAGTACAGAAAGTTTCCAGTTGCCCTTCACTTAGTTTTCCCTAATGTTAGCATCATCTATAACCATACTACCATTGTCAAAACCAGGAAATTAACATTGATACTATATTATTAACTGACCTACAGACACTGAGTTTCACTAGTTTCTCCACCAATGTACTTTTTCTGGTTTATGATCCAATTCAGGATTTTACATCATATCTAGTTGCCGTGTCTCTTTCATCTCCTCTATGACAATTTTTAGTCTTTCCTTTTCTTTAATGACTGTGACACTTGAAGAGTCCTGGCCAGTTATTTTGTAAAATATTACTTTAATTTATCTGATGTGTTTCCCTGCTATGACTGACTATATGCATATTTAGTTTATCCTTAGTTGACAAAAGGAGTAGAAAGTGGAAAAAAAAGAAAGTCTTTATCCTAGTAATAAGTAAAGAACTTATAAACTTAGAATGGAAATATAAACGTCAAATTTTATTATTTCAGCCTCAATGAGATGTTCATTGGGCTCAAACCAGGTTATTATAGGTTCACTTTTAAAAGACCTTTGTAAAGCACATTCTGCCTTTGGTTTCCTCATTTGCTAAACAGAGGTAACATTTGTCTTTCCTCAAGAATGTTGCATATTTCCTAGGGCGTATTATATATGAAATTTTTTTTCATTATATTTTAATTTTTGGAGATAGGGGCTTACTCTGTTGCCCAGGCTGGAGTGCGGTAGCACAATCCTAGCTTACTGCAATCTTAGGTCCCTGGGCTCAGGTGATCCTCCCTTCTCAGCCTCCTGAGTAGCTGGCATTACAGGAGCACATCACCATACCAGCCACCAGCTAATTTTTTTTTAAGAGATGGGATTTCATTGTGTTGTCCAAGCTGGTCTCAAACTCTTGGCCTCAAACAATCATCCTGCCTTGAGCCCAGGAGGTAGAGGCTGCAGTGAGCTGTGACTGTGAATTACACACATGCATACACACACATTAATGTGGAAAGGAAACCACTTCAATTCCCCCATAGAAATGATGCTTATGGTCTCTTTTGAATAAACATAGAAATTGACCCCCCAGTCTTAAAACTTGAGAAAGTTATATTTAACCAAGTTCCCTTCTCAGACAACTAACCATCAGGCCTCCCAGATAGCATCAGGGAACTGAAACATACCAGATAACCATATCTGGACAATCAGAAGCCAGATTCTTCACCCACCATGACCACCTAACCAACCACCTGCTTTCTGTTGACCCACTCCTCTTCCTTACCACACACCGCCCATTCTTGTTTTCCTGAATATCATTACATTCCTTTCCTGCTATATAAACCACTGATTCTAGTGGGTCAGAGAGATGGATTTGAGACTGTTCTCCCATCTCCTTGCCCGCAGCCCCCTATTAAAGTCTTCCTCCCTGGCAATACTCATTGTCTCAGTGATTGGCTTTCTGTGCAACAAGTAGCAGGACCTAGACTGAACCCCTGGCATTTCAGTAACAGAAACAGGGCATGAGGTATGTGTAGATATGAGTACATACTTTATTTATTTATTCATTTCATTTACCTTCAATTGTATGTGGCCATTATGTTTCACCAGTGCTTCTCAACTTGCCTTATGTGACGGCTGGTGGAATGATAGTTAGCATAACACTTACTCAGAATTTAAAATAGAATTTACTCCCAACTATACCCCAGCAATTTATCCTTAAAAGCTCTGATCCCCAAATGTGTGGGGAGACTGATGTGAGTAATAATAAAATTACCAGTCTTTCAGACCACAGTGCAATCAAATTAGAACTCAGGACTAAGAAACTCACAAAACCACACAACTACAAGGAAACTGAACAACCTGCTCCTGAATGACTACTGGATAAATAATGAAATGAAGGCACAAATAAATATGTTTTCTGAAACCAATGAGAACAAAGACACAATGTACCAGAATCTCTGGGACACATTTAAAGCAGTGTCTAGAGGGAAATTTATAGCACTAAATGCCCACATGATAAGTGGGGAAACTTCTAAAATCAACACCCTATCGCCAAAATTAAAATAACTAGAGGAACAAGATCAAACAAATTCAAAAGCTAGCAGAAGACAGGAAATAACTAAGATCAGAGCAGAACTGAAGTAGACAGAGACACAAAAAACCCTCCAAAAAATCAATAATTCAGGGAGCTGGTTTTTTGAAGAATCAGCCAAAGAGATAGACTGCTAGCCAGACTAATAAAAAAGAAAAGAAAGAAGAATCAAATAGATGCAATAAAAAATGACAAAGAGGATATCACTATTGATGCCACAGAAATGGAAACTACAATCAGAGATTACTACAAACAACTCTATGGACATTAACCAGTAAATCTAGATGAAATTGATAAATTCCTGGATACTCACACCCTCCCAAGAATAAACCAGGAAGAAGTTGAATCCCTGAATAGACTAACAACAAGGTCCAAAGTTGAGGCAGCAATTAATAGTCTACCAGCCAAAAAAAGTCCTGGTCTGGATGGGTTCACAGCCAAATTCTACCAGATATGCAAAGAGGAGCTGGTACCACTCCTTCTGAACAATACCAATAGAGAGAATACTCCCTAACTCATTTAATGAGACCAACATCATCCTGATACCAAAACCTGGCAGAGACACAACTAAAAAAGAAAATTGCAGGCCAGTATCTGTGATAAACATCGATGCAAAAATCTTCAATAAAATACTAACCAAATGCAACAGCACGTCAAAAAGATTATCCATCATGATCAAGTAGGCTTCATCCCATGGATGCAAGGCTGGTTCAACATACACAAACCTATAAACATAATCAATCACATAAACAGAACCAAAGACAAAAACCTCATGATTATCTCAACAGATGCAGAGAAGGCCTTCCATAAATTTTTTTTTTTTTTTTTTTTTTTTTTTAGTTTTTCATAAGACACTTTTATTTGGCAAATACAGACAAATTAGGCAAATAGAATAAACACATTTCAGGGATTTAAAAACATTAATAAATGCAAAGTCATAGTAATATTTCTTAATGAAACCAAAAGATGCATTTAATTAAAATTATTTCCCATTTTCTTCTTCTTTTTTTTTAATTTTATTGCTTTTTAGGTTTTGGGGTACATGTGAAGAACATGCAAGATTGTTGCATAGACACACACGTGGCAGTGTGATCTGCTGCCTTCCTCCCCATCACCCACATCTAGCACTTCTCCCCATGCTATCTCTCCTCAACTCCCCTCCCCCTGCTGTCCCTCCCCTGTTTCCCCCCAACAGACCCCAGTGTGTAGTGCTCCCCTCCCTGTGTCCATGTGTTTTCATTGCTCAACATCTGCCTATGAGTGAGAACATGCAGTGTTTGATCTTCTGCTCTTCTATCAGTTTGCTGAGAATGACTGTTTCCAGGTTCATCCATGTCCCTACAAAGGACACGAACTCATCTTTTTTATGGCTGCATAATATTCCATGGTGTATATGTGCCCCATTTTCCCTGTGCAGCCTATCATCGATGGGCATTTGGGTTGTTTCCAGGTCTTTGCTATTGTAAACAGTGCTGCAATGAACATTCATGTGCCCATGTCCTTATAGTAGAACGATTTATAATCCTTTGGATATATAGCCAGTAACAGGATTGCTGGGTCAAATGGAATACCTAGGAATACAACTAACAAGGAATGTAAAGGACCTCTTCAAGGAGAACTACAGGACACTGCTCAACGAAATAAGAGAGGACACAAACAGATGGAAAAACATTCCATGTTCCTGGTTAGGGAATAATCAATATCATGAAAATGGCCCTACTGCCCAAAGTAATTTACAGATTCAATGCTATCCCCATCAAACTACCAATGACCTTCTTCACAGAACTGGAAAAAAACACCTTAAACTTCATATGGAACCAAAAGAGAGCCTGCATAGCCAAGTCAATTCTAAGCAAAAAGAACAAAGCGGGAGGCATCACACTACCGGACTTCAAACTATACTACAAGGCTACAGTAATCAAAACAGCATGGTACTGGTACCAAAACAGAGATATAGACCAATGGAACAGAACAGAGGCCTTGGAGGCAACACAGCATATCTATAACCATCTGATCTTTCACAAACCTGACAAAAACAAGCAATGGGGAAAGGATTCCCTGTTTAATAAATGGTGTTGGGAGAACTGGTTAGCCATGTGCAGAAAGCAGAAACTGGACCCCTTCCTGACACCTTACACTAAAATTAACTCCAGATGGATTAAAGGCTTAAACATAAGACCTAACGCCTTCCATAAAATTCAACAGTGCTTTATCCTAAAAACTTTCAATAAACTAGGCATTAATGGAACGTATCTCAAAATAATAAAAGCTATTTATGACAAACCCACAGCCAATATCATACTGAATGGGAAAAAATTGGAAGCATTCCCTTTGAAAACTGGCACTAGAAAAGGATGCCCTCTCTCACTATTCCCATTCAACATAGTATTGGAAGTTCTAGCCAGAGCAATCAGGCAAGAAAAAGAAATAAAAGGTATTGAACTAGGAAAAGAGAAGTCAAATTGTCTCTATTTACAGACAACATGATTGTATATTTAGAAGACCCCATTGTCTCAACCCAAAATCCCCTTAAGATGATAAGCAACTTCAGCAAAGTCTTAGGATACAACATCAATGTGCAAAAATCACAAGCATTCCTATACATCAATAACAAACAAACACAGAGCCAAATCATGAGTGAACTCCCATTCACAATTACTACAAAGAGAATAAAATACCTAGGAATACAACTAACAAAGGATATGAGGACCTCTTCAAGGAGAACTACAAACCACTGCTCAACGAAATAAGAGAGGACACAAAAAGATAGAAAAACATTCTACGCTCGTGGTTAGGAAGAATCAATATCGTGAAAATGGCCATACTACCCAAAGTAATTTATAGATTCAATGCTATCCCCATCAAACTACCATTGCCCTTTTTCACAGAACTGGAAAAAAACACCTTAAATTTCTTATGGAATCAAAAAAGAGCCCACATAGCCAAGACAATCCTAAGCAAAAAGAACAAAGCTAGAGGCATCACACTGCCTGACTTCAAACTGTGCTACAAGGCTGCAGTAATCAAAACAGCATGGTACTTGTACCAAAACAGAGATATAGACCAATGGAACAGAACAGAGGTGTCAGAGGTAATGCCATACACCTACAACCATCTGATCTTTGACAAATCTGACAAAAACAAGCAGTGAGGAAAGGATTTCCTGTTTAATAAATGGTGTTGGGAAAACTGGCTAGCCATGTGCAGAAAGCTGAAACTGGACCCATTCCTTACACCTTATATAAAAACTAACTCCAGATGGATTAAAGATTTAAACGTATGACCTAACACCATAACAACCATAGAAGAAAACACAGGCAGTATCATTCAGGACATAAGCATAGGCAAGGACTTCATGACTAAAATACCCAAAGCAAAAGCAACGAAAGCCAAAATAGACAAATGGGATCTAAATAAACTTAAGAGCCTTTGCACAGCAAAAGAAACAATCATTAGAGTGAACTGGCAACCAACAGAATGGGAAGATAGTTTTGCAAGCTACCCATCTGACAAAGGGCTAATATCCAGAATCTACAAAGAACTAAAATAAATTTACAAGAATAAAACCAACAACCCCATAAAAAAGTGGGTGAAGGTTATGAACAGGCACTTTTCAAAAGAAGACATTTATGCAGCCAACAAACATGAAAAAAATGCTCAGCATCACTGGTCATTAG